TTCAGAGCAGGATTTTTTTGTTAGAACTTTAAGTCTTTGAAAAAGCGAGAATGTGGTAAGAAAAAGAAGTGTAGGTGGGGGTCCATAAATACAAGATTATCTAGTATTCTACAGAAAAATTCCTAGGCTCTACTGTCTTCCACAGAATTGCAGTGGACCTCACCAAATTTAGGTTTAGGAGTTTTGTCATTAAGCACATAAACAATAGATACTTTCCATCTGTGTTACTGTTGTAATAAAACAACTTCCTTATGTAATATTTGTAATCAAAAAGTAACTTGTCTGAATAAGAAAATATAACCATCTAGCAGTTTTGTTAGGAAGATTTAATAAAGTATTCAGGTAGCATTCTCTACAATTGTTCCTTTAAGTCTTGTGTGACAAACTGAGAAATATCTTTGCGCACAGTGGGTAGCCAGTAGGTTTTCTGCAGGGGGTTTCTACCGAGAGTTGACAGAGGGCATCTTGGCAAATGTTCAGAAACCTACATTAACTTAGTTGGGCCCTGCATGGAACCTCATGTTCAGCAGAATTCTTCTGACCTGCCTCTGCATGCCAAGCTAATCAGCAAACACCTAATGAGCCCACTCCAAAGAAACAGACTCTCTCCCAACCTACTTCATTTTCATATGTTCTCTGGGGGTGGGGAGACAAGACTTCATGAGGACTGATGATGCTGCAAAGACCACAATAATGATAATTAACTTGCTGAATTTAGAAGATTATGCTGTTAATTAGTTGCAAAATAAAGATAAGTAATAGAGCAGCAGATGGTAGGATAACACCCAGGAGAAGGAGGGTTATTACTCTGATGAGCTTTTGTGGCACATATGAAATATGGATCTGACTTTTTCATAAATTGTTTCTAGAGAACATTGTTTTTTTCTTTGAACTATGATGGAGTAGTTTGTTCCTACTAAGTTCTGACAGATGTGATAAAATTTGTTTTCAGGAGTGTGAAATATAACCTAGAATTTGAATAGCAAATTATTTTTAGCAGATTACTTCTTAAAATGAGTAAGTAGTATCGGTCAGCACAACAGACTATTGACTGACACAGTTTATTTCTAAGAAAAAAGTTTTCAGTGTAGTAGTTGAATTTTACATTGCTAGAAGTTAATTCCAAACATTAAAACAGTAGTCTGCTTAGAAATACAGTATTTAAAGATATTTTAGTTTTCTTTCAAACAATGCCTCTAGTTTAAAATTAAAATTATGCTTAAGCTTTATTGTACATATTGGAGAATACAGACATTTTGGATCTTATTAATTTCTCTGAGTACTCAATCTTTTTTATTAAATTTCTGTATTGAGAGCAATATCTGATACTCTTCTTACTGATTGCTGATATACTTAGAATACTTCATATAGGCAAAAGCTCTAGTGTGGCAAAACTTTGAAGATATGTTCAATGAATTAGGAGTTAACAGACAGAATATCTGGTCCTTGCTCTGCTTCTAACTTTTTGATTCTGGGAAGTAACTTCATTCACTCTTTGGACCTTAGTTTGCCTTTGTGTAACAAGCTGATGATTGGACTAATTAACTGATCATCAGTATATCTTCTAGTTCTAAAATTCTATTGTAGAAAAAATATTCATGGTATTTATATATGTTTTCATTAATATTTTTGAACCACATATTAGCCGTTCTTTTAAGATGTCTCTAACAAATACATATGGGTGGATTGTAGGTATCCTTATATTATAAAATTTTCATGAATCCTATTCAGTGACATCTTTTTTCACCTAACCCATTCTAAATTTTTTTGCATACACATATTTTTTTACTGCTCTTTAAAATACATATATGCCGTTCAGAGCAGTGTTAATTAACCCTTGAAAATCTTTTTCTTAAATTTTGTACCCAGTGGCACACTTTCTAAGTCAGACCCATTGTAATCAATGTAACAGCATGGAGCAAACATTAGAGCTTCCTCACTGGGTGAGTACTGTATACACTAGGGCAGTCAAGAGAGGATAATGAATGAATACTGATGCTGCTTTTAAGTGCTCTATAAGGTAGTCACTTGCCCTACTAAAGATTATTCAAGAGAGTGATGTTTATGTACTTCAGACTCCCCTATGTGCAGTTACTGTATTTCATTAATTCTAAGAGTTAAGCTCTTCACTATAAAACTTTAAATGCTCTTCAGTTCTATGATGTTTTCTAACCTAAGGACTTAAAAATGTTTTATCAACACATAATTTACCAAGCTTCACATCTCAACTACTACTTACATTTATGCACATTTTATATCCAGAAATGAAAGCCCCGTAACCTAACACTGTAGACTGGGTACTGTTTACTGTATTTTGATGTGTAACACTGTTTTTAAAAGATGTAATTATGCAGACTGACCGCCTCCCCTGATTTTCCTCCTTTGTTCTGATTATATTGCCCTACACTTTCAAACTCTTATCTTTCTATTTTGAGTTCTTTGACCACTTCGCCTAAGTAGTCGTTCTGGTTGCAGCCAACTACTCCTTTAATCCATTATCTAACTTTAGTTTAATCCATCCATGTCCATATTATCCCATCAGTTATGAGTGTTTCAATTTCCTGTGTCTTAGATACTTATGTGACCTTAGGCAAATGATCTCTGGTTTCCTAATCGGTAAAGTAGGGACACTGTCCTATTAGAAACTCATTGAAAAAATACTGATAACACGGATGAATTTCAAGTGCATTATGCTAAAAGAAAGAAGCCAAATTCAAAAGGCTGTTAACATTGTGTAATTCCATTTATATGACATTCTAGAAAAGGCAAAACTTTGGGGACCAGAAAACAGATTAGTAGTTTCTAGGGGCTGGGGGTGGGAAGAGAGTATGGCAGGAAAGAAGTGTGAGGGAATTTGGGGGAATAATAGCACTGTTCTGTATCCTGATTGTAGGGGTTGGTTACACAACTGTATGCACTTGTTAAAGCTCCTAGAGCTATGTACAAAAAAGACTTCATCTTACTATATGTAATTTATACCTCAGTAAACTTTTTTTTTAAGATTTTATTTATTTGAGAGAACATGATGGGGGGAGGGGGCAGGGCAGAGGGAGAAGCAGACTCCCTGCTGATCAGGGAGCCCAGCACAGGGCCTCTGTACCAGGATCCTGGGATCATGACCTGAGCTGAAAGCAGACACTTGTTTTTTATTTTTTTTATTTTTTTTTTTAAAGATTTTATTTGTTTATTTGAGAGAGAGAGAATGAGAAAGAGAGAGCACGAGAGGGAAGAGGGTCAGAGGGAGAAGCAGACTCCCTGCCGAGCAGGAAGCCTGATGCGGGACTCGATCCCGGAACTCCAGGATCATGACCTGAGCCGAAGGCAGTCGCTTAACCAACTGAGCCACCCAGGCGCCCGTAAACTTGTTTTTTAAACTACTGATTTGTTTTTAAAATCATACCCAGAATCTACAATGAATAGCGGTAGAGAGAGAATGTCCAGTAACACTTGTCTAGGTATAATTACTGCCTCAGGAACTTTTAGTGACATTTTCATGTATGCTTCAGTTTTTCAGGGGTCTGGATCACTTAAAATGGTAAGGAGATATACATAAATGAAAACAAATTACAAATTTGGAGATAGTTGTACAATTTTCTAAGTTCTTAGTTCAAGTAAATGAAAGCAGTTGTACTAAAATCATCTGGGGGCCTCTTTCAAAAGCTCTTCCCTCTTTCCCACCCCTCCCTGTGCTAGGAAGGGAGAGAGAAAGTTTGCTACAAATCTGTTTGTAATGCCCAGCCAAATAGGACTTCTGAGAAGTTTGGGAAGCACTGGATAGACTGTAACACATTTCTCTTATCAATTTTGTAGCCTCCTTCCCATTCAAATATGCACCTGAGTGTGGATCTTAGGAAAATGTAATGGATGTATCTGTATCAAGTTTTGTGATGAAACTTTATTTTGGGCTTAAGGACTACGTCTCAGTTACTAAGAACAATATCAACAATAATAGTCCCTGGTCTTTTGGGTCCCTTTCATTTCTTTTTTTTTTTTTTTTAACATTTCTAAGATATTATAGTATGATTATCTTATGCTAATTATTTCATATTTATATATTTTTAACAAAAAAAACTAACCCAAATATCACTTGTGCCATTTTTGCCAGTGAATCCAATTTCTATCAATTAACAAATACATGTGTTGCTAGGTCATGTAGCAAATCAGTATACCAGTTGCTTAAAAGGGGTGCAAAGAAAGATAAGGCAATCTGTTCTTCAAAGAGCTTACTGTCTGGTTGAGGAGATAAGATACTCATATATGATATATTTTTGCTGGTAGAATAAGAAACTTTATGCAAATTGTACCTTTGTTAAGAGGTAGCCATAAATGTTTAGGGCCGCCTCCTAACACTAGATCACTCATCCTCTGACAGTGGGTCAGGTGCAATTCAGTTAACTGGCAAATGGAACATAGTAGAGGGGATAGACTTGGAACTAAATCTGCTTACTGGAAACAGGGAAGACCTCAGGGAGGTAAACCTAGCTGTAGGCTGTAGGAGGAGGTTCAGTCTGACAGTTAATATAGTGGCCTAAAAAAATGCAACATCAGATCGTTGTCCAAATAGGCACTGACATCAAACCATCAAGCAGAGATCAATTGGGCCCAAATTTGGAAGAGGTTTAGGTTTAAGAATCTAGGGAGAGCCTGAGAAGATGGAGATATAGGAAGAGGTGGAAGAAAATAGGTGAAAGTGTACATAATTTGTATTGCTTATTTTAGTTGAACAGAGGTAGATTATTTTCAGTCAACAGTATTTTTATTTTTCAGTCTTTTCTCAAAATTGATTAGGAACAGCAGAGTATAAAATCCTCTAGTAGTACTAGACAGACTCAGGAAAGCTTCTCAAAGTGTTTGTCTTATTATTTGTAATGATAAAACTAATTTTAAAGCCAAATGCATTCCTTAACAAATATTTTGTTGTTGTTAACCAAAGAATATGTTGGGAGTTGGATTTGAGTGGAAAGCAGGGAACTTTTTTTTAATTGGTATTTGCATTTCAGAGATTAAAAGCTGCTTTGACCCAGCAACATCCTCCAGTTACCAATGGTGATACTGTCAAAAGTCATGGTAGCGGATTGGTTAGAACTCAGTCAGAGGAATCTCGACCACAGTCATTACAACAGCCAGCTACATCCACTACAGAAACTCCGGTATGTGTGTTGTTTTTATCATTCGTACTTTATCATCTTTTAAAAAACAAACACAGTGTAACTTAAATGACTATTTTATATGCTTTGAAAAAAATTATTTCTGGTCATAGTTCAAAAGTATACCAAAAACCTTAGGAAAAGGTAGTTCATTGTAAAAGTATTGGTACTCAAAAATAAATAAGTAAATGAAATAGTTGAACAGTTGTTACTGATCAGGACACTCTGTAAATGCTTCTGTAGGTGTCTGTGTTTGTTGGCTTGACATGACATAAATATCCATTGATATTTTTTTAAATCATTTTTTTCTGTTGATTGTATTCAGCAAGTAATGTATGCTTGTGGGTGTGTTTATTACATTACTAACATAAATCAAATGATTCTTGAATTAAAATTTGAGAAACATCGCCAAAGGAGCAGACATATATGTTTTATAGAAACTCTTTATACTAGAGGTCCTTTTCATTTATCTCTAGTTTGTGACTGCATATTAGATGACTGATATGTCATGTGTTATGTGTAGTGCATTTCTACATGGAGGGGTTGGTTACTGTATTTCTGCTAAATGTTTTAGAACTCTTATTTAGAACTCTATTTAGAACTTTTAAGATAAAAGATACTTAAGGATACTTAATACTAGCATTGGCATTAAAAAACAAAACTTTGCAATTAGAGAAACAGGTAAATGGCAAGTTTAGATTGCCTCATAATCATTACTTTTTAGATAACTCTATTTTATCTTCACAAAACTTAGAATAAAGTGGAATGTAGTTGTGGTAGTCATCCACTAAACAACTTAGGAGCCTAGAGAGAAGGAAAATAAGTGTGTATGTTTTACTGTCATAATTCAGAGATGAGCAAACTGACTCAGGAGCCAAATCCAGCCCATGGCTATTTTTTCGTATGGTCTGCAAGCTATGTGTGGTTTTTACATCTTTAAAATGTATCTAAAAGAAATGAGTATATAATTTATTTTCTTATAGTAACTGTAGTTTACCTGGATCTAATTTTTATTTATATCCTTGTATTGGATGGGAGCTTCACGAAGGCAGGACTTTATCTGTTTTTTTTTTTATTTACTATTGTATCACTTTACTTTTGTATCACTAGTTTCTAGGATAGTCCCTGTGTTCTTTTTAATAATGTGAAATGAATGAATCAAAGGAAGGAGCGAGAGGAGGAAGAATATATGCTTTTTAAGGAGCCTTAAATCCTTGTTAGGTATAAAAATGCACAAATATAACTCTGTATTAGTTTCTGCTTATAATACTTGTGATTAGCCTTTGCTGTAATAACTGAGTTGTCAATTAAAAAAAAACTGTTCTTTCCTATTCAGCCAATGAGTAAAAGAAAAAACCTGCTATTATCAATAAGTTAAGAGGATGAAGAAAAGAAAATATTTCAAGGTTGCCATTCTTGAAGCAAGCCATAGAAATATTTTTCTAAAAGATTAACTTGCAATTATGTACGTAAAAGAAATGATCTAATTTAATACTTAATCTTTATTACAATTAAAATACAGTATAAATTAAATTACCCTCAGAATTTTTAATGCTAGTCATTTGGAAAAGGAATTAAATGATAACATATGTTTTTTGGAGTTTGTAGAGTGAGAAGTAGTTTGGTGATTTCCCTGCAGAACTTATGTTGAGCTTATATATAAGACTTTCACGTATTATGTAGATTAGGAGAAGATAGAAGCTTTATTTGTTTACACCATTTTAGAATATAATTACAGGTAAAAGATTGTTTTCAGGCTTCCTTGGGTCATATGCCTGTGGTCACAAAGTGCCATTTCCTTTGCACTATTTCCAAGGGTTCATTTCCTGTCTCCCAAGTTCAAGAGTGTTCTGTGGCACAATTTTGGGATTTGAGAGAGGTTTGGAAATACTGTTCTGTAGTCCCAGATACTAGGCAATATCACTAGTGACTGAAAACGGTCTTTGGCTGATCTGAAATAACTAGGCTGATCTGTTGAGGGGCAAGGGGAACCAATTAAAATTAAAATCTGAACTCCTATGGGATTCTGCCCACGAGGAAAATGAGCATCAATAATGAACCTGACCCTAAATTTCAAAAACTGAAGAAAAGCTGAGTATACCAAAATACGTACATGTGGTAGTTCCCTCTTACCCACGGTTTAGCTTTCCAAGGTTTCGGTTTTTCATGGTCAGCCGTGGTGCAGAAGCAGATGATCCTCCTTCTGACAGATTGTTAGAAGGGTCATTCGTAGCCTGGCACTATGTCATAATGCCTTTATCATTCACCTCACTTCACATCATGACGTAGGCATTTTATTTCGTATCATCACAAGAAGAAGGGTGTGAGTACAGTACGATATTTTAAAAGTGAGACCACATTCACATAACTTCTATTACAGTATATTGTTATAATTGTTCTATTTTATTAGTTATTGTTGATCTCTTACTATATCTAACTTATAAATTAAACTTTGTAATAGGTATCTATGCATAGGAAAAAACATAGTATATATTGGGTTCAGTAGTGCATATGGTTTCAGGCGTCCAGGGGAGTCTTAGAACATATCCCCTGCTGATAAGGGGGCACTACTGTACTTTTACTCCTCAATTTTTTACTCCTCAATTTTAGAGAAACCAATTTTTAAGAGAAAATTTTAGTATTTATTTTTAAAATTTTATTTGAAAAATAGCAAGTAAATGGTTTTTCATAGTGAATTTTAGTAAATTATTAAATTTTTTACTTTAGGACCTTATAATTTTTCAAAGGACTGTATTATACCATAATGTTAAAAAGTACACTTGGAAAAATATAAGATCTATTACGTTTGTTTGTATTGCATTTTCAACTTCTTCATATTATTTCTATATAAATGAAATGTTATACAAACTTTAAATATATTCACTGTGATAGTGAATTAATGAGAATCTTATTTTAGCAGTGCTTATTTATTTCAAGGAATTTGTTAAAGCACAGGGTGATTTTCATGTCACCCCAAAATATTGATGTATACAGTGAGACTTAGAAAACAAAGTTAATAGCTCTTCCTCTTCTGCCACTCTTTACTACCTGTATTCTCACTCACTAGATACAAACATAAAAAACTTCCATTTGTGTTTATTATAGGCTTCTCCAGCTCACACAACTCCACAGACCCAAAATACAAGTGGTCGTAGAAGAAGAGCAGCTAATGAAGATCCTGATGAAAAAAGGAGGAAATTTCTAGAGCGAAATAGAGCAGCAGCTTCACGATGCCGACAAAAAAGGAAAGTCTGGGTTCAGTCTTTAGAGAAGAAGGCAGAAGACTTGAGTTCATTAAATGGTCAACTGCAGGTATGGTGCATATATGTAAATGTTGTCCTATTTTTAGCAATTGTGAACTTAGCTCTTCGCTGTTTTTTCCAGTTAGCCATCCAGACATTTTAGCACACAATATTGGGTGTGTATGGAATCTATAGTAAAACATAGTTTTGTAAACCTATTTGAATACTGAGATGAAGTAATATAAAACCTGCAACACTGACACAATAAGGAAATGTTAAATATAAGTTTTTACTTGTATACTACAAAAGTACGAAAACTATCAGGCTTAAACTTTGTAAAGTTGTGGTATATAAAGTTCAAACAAAGAAGCTTAAAATTTGAAATATCACTGGTATTTCACTTTTCTATTTTTATTGGTTTCTATCACAACTGTAAAGTTGCTTCAGTAGTATTTTTAAGTTCTTTGGTTCTTTGAACTATAAATTTTGTTTTGTTTATTTAGAATGAATGTAGTGCTTGGAAAAAATGTCAGATTGATAACTTTGGAAACTGAAGGGCTCTATTTATCCACAGAACAGGTACAATGTGGCCAGTGGCAGTAGAAATCATTTCATACTCCCTGCCAGTGTGCCCCAGATAGGTTTCTTAGGAACCTCATGGGATATAAAGGTTTTTAAGACTCCTCCCTGTTCAGTCTTTGCTAAGATTTCCGGTGATGGTATCAGACAGCACTAAGATTATTTCCTTCATTCTGTTTTTTCTTTCTTCCTTTTATTTTTCTTCTGTTTAAAGATTTATTCATTCATTCATTCATTCATTTTAGAGCAAGAGGGGGGAAGAGAGAAAGCTAGGGGAGGGGCAGCAGGAGAGGGAGGGAGAAGGAGAGAAGCTGACTGACTCTCCACTAAGCACGGTGACATGGGGCTGGATCTCAGGACTCTGAGATCGTGACCTGAGCCGAAATCAAGAGTCAGATGCTTAACTGACTGAGCCACGCATGCATCCCCTAAGGGATGTCCTTTAAAATACTTATACAAAAAAAAGAAAAAGAATGAAGTTCATATGTATATGTTAACCTGGGAAATTATCTATAATATATTGTTAGGGGTAAAAAGAAAGTTGTTGAAAACAGCCCAAATGTCTATCAGTAGATGAATGGATAAATTACGGTATATACATACAATAGAGTATTATTCAGCCATAAAAAGGGGAGTGGATGTGGATGAACATGCTAGAATGTGGATGAACCTCAGAACATTTTTGCTTAAGTTAAAGAAGCCAGAAACAAAGCCACCTATGACTCCATTTATATGAAATACCTAGAAGAGCGGTGCCTGGGTGGCTCAGTTAAGTGTCAGACTCTTGATTTCGGCCCAGATCATGATCTGAGGGGAGTGAGATCGAGCTCCACATCAGGTTCCACGTGGGTGTGGTGCCTGCTTAAGATTCTCTCTCTCTCTCTCTAAGAAAAAAAGATAAGTATCTAGAACAGAGAAATCCATAGAGATAAATGCAGATTGGTGGTTGCCAGGAACGGGGGCAGGGGGTGGGGTGGTAGAAAATAGGGAGAAACTGGTTAATGGGTAAGGAGTTTTACTTTGAACTGACAGAAGTGTTTTATAACCAGATTGAGGGAGGTGGCTGCTGTACTGAACACCACTGAATTGCTCACTTTGAAATGGTTAATTCTAGGGGCACCTGAGTGGCTTATTCAGTTGGGCATCTGCCTTCTTCTTGGGTCATGCAGGGTCCTGGGATCAAACCCTGCATCGGGCTCCCTGCTCAGTGAGGAGTCTGCTTCTCCCTCTGCCTGACGCTTCCCCTGCTTGTGCTCGCTCATGTTCTCTCTCTCTCTGACAAATAAAAAATCTTTAAAAAAATAAAATGGTTAATTCTAGCTCATGGGAATGTCACCTCAGTAAATTACTCAAAAAAATAGTTGTACACTAAAATAGCACAACTCTTTTTCACAAATAAAAGGTTTGTAGTTAGATGGATAAATGTGTAGATATGAAAATTGGTATAGGAATGAATCCCGAAATTGTAAGTAGAATTTTAGGAATGACATGTACCAGGAATAAGTGGTGAAGAGGCTGTTGAGAGTATGAATGGTTTGGGAGAAAGGAGCTTCAGTTATGACTTTCTCTATTGTTTCAAGTGGATAAATGATTTTTATTTTTTGTTTTTTAGTTATCAAATAAAACAAAAACAGTTTTAAAAAGTGACATTCTGGTTATCAGAGTATAAAGAGTTAATAACATGATAGATTCAGGGAGAAAAAATTTCAGTCTGCCAATAGCAAAACCGTTAACTGTGAAGAACAAAATGACTTGTAAAGAAAATTGAATGTCAGAGAAATAATTAAACTCTACTTTATGTGAAAACATTCATCAATTCTACATTTCCTTAATAATCCTTCACGTGACATACAGGCTTAGCTGATCAGTATAGTGGGCAGTAATGACCCATGGTTACTTACATATTACAAATAAATCTTAACGAGTGTTGAGGTGTGACTGTATACATATTTTTACCAAATACATATTAGGTTTTAAAGAACATTAATTATTCAAGTCTCTTGCCCCACTCACTGAATTTAATTATATTTTAGCTTTCTAAAATTGTTGCTAAAAAGACAATTTCATCAAATTGTATTAGAGACATGGCAGTCTAGACCCAAACATGGATACTGTTGATTATCAATTATTATATTTTTAAAGATAATATATGGTTTTACTGTCTTTTACTTGAAAGAGTTTTCACCTCTTTGTGGCTTTTTCATTTATACTCATTTTGGAATTTTGTTTTCAGCTTACAAATTCAGCATGTTTCCTTTAGGCAGATTCTTTACTAACAGTAGCTCCTTAACAGTTACTCTTTGTATAAAACTTGGGAGTTTTTGTTGTGGATTTTGCTTTTAAAACGGGTATTGCAAAATGTGTGTGGAGTAGAAGCTCAATAAATTAAAAAAAAAAAACATTCTTTCACAGCTGGATATGTGAGGAATTTTCACTCATAAGTTAATGATACAGAAAAGGTTTTGTTATTGCTCTATTGTGATCAAATCTTTTATTTCTGATACCCAAATAGTATTTTATTTCAATATTTATCACTTGAAATATAAAGGAATGGTGACAATTGGAAGATGTTAATCCTGGTTTTTTTGGGGGGGTTAAGATTTTATTTATTTATTTGACAGAGAGAGACAAAGCGAGAGAGGAAACACAAGCAGGGGGAGTGGGAGAGGGAGAAGCAGGCTTCCCGCAGAGCAGGGAGCCAGATGTGGGGCTCGATCCCAGGACGCCGGGATCATGACCTGAGCTGAAGGCAGACGCTTAACTGACTGGGCCACCCAGGCGCCCCTGTTAAACCTGTTTGTGTTAATTCCTGGAAGAAAAAAAAAAGTATTCTATGCTATCACTGCCTTGCTTCTTTTCCCCTGAGTTTTAACCAAGTTCTAGAGGGGGAAGGGTAACTGATGCCACTACTACTTCATGCATTTTGTTATGGGCCTGAGACCTAGTACTTCTTTTTACTAGGCCTTACTAAAAATCTTTCAGCCTTTACTTCCCCATCTGTCATACTCATAGAGTAAGTCCTGTTATGAAGATCAGATGAGAGAGAGGGTGTAGAGAAGTCTGTTATAACTACACTATGCAAATGCTAGTTATTTATTATTCATTCTGTCATTAAGCATCTATTGTGTGCAGGGCATGTTATCTAGACACAGGAGATATAACAGTGAAAAAGACATTGTCCTTGCGCTTACAGAATTTGTGGTCTAGCAGAGGAGACAGACACGAAACAAAGTATGAGAATACTCTGAAGGAGAATAAGAGAAGGGTCATTCCCATTCATTTTGCAAGGTATTTCCAAAGTATTAAGAAACCTGTCATCTTTTTCTCTATTGTTACGGACATAAATTAAATATTTTGTTCTCCAGTATAAAGTTTTACATTCGTGACGATCCTTGGCACTGTGTGATGGGAATCTTGATACTTAATCATTGATTTTTGTGAAGACTGTAAACGTGAAGAAAATCATACCTTTAGCAGTGAGAAACTATCCAATATTATTTCTTTAATTTTGGGGGTATTGGCTGAACTAGAAGTCAAAGATCATAAATTTATGGAATAAATTTATGGGTCCTCAGTCTATGGCCAGGTATCAATGAAAAGCTTTGATAGATTCATCAGTTGGCTAGCCTGTCATGATTTCATCAGTCTAATCTTCACATAATCTGTAAAAAAAAAAAAAAAAAAAAGTTTTTTTTTGTTCATAGTATATAATTAACCTTTCAGTAGCTACAGATGGAATGGAGCAATGGTATAGACAATGTCAAAGTAATTTACATTTTATTTTAGGCCAGAATAACAATTTTTTTCAGCATCTGCTTTATCTTACCAAAAATGTTTACTTTGACAAAAAAAATCATCATATGGTTTATGCTGAATGTCTATATAGAATATTTAGGAGAAAGAGCATTTGTGATTTTTAAAAACTGAGATTTTTAAAAATTGAGATGATACTGTAAAGTATGCCAATTTTCATTTTATGTCTGAGAAAATTAACAATGCAGCTACGTTGGCGAGGTTGTTGGTGTAAATAATGAAATTAGGACCTCTGACCAGTTTTATATTATTTAAGCAACTTCATTTCACCTTCTTTGGAATTTTTTCCTCTCCCCTGGACATAGAATTATTCATGGTTCTAAAATATAACTACGTACTCAGTCTGTAGTAGGCTGTGTGCTTTACTCTGGGGATACAAAGAGCAAAAGTAATCCCTGCCCTTGAGAAATTCCCAATCTGGCAGAGGTGGTGAGCAAGTAAACCAAAATTTAACAATCCTGTGTAGTAAATACTATGTAAATGTACACATGTATGTGCATATGGATCTGGGAGCACAGAAATGGAGTTCTTTTCCTATCCAAATTTATGCTGTACTGATTTCACTCTTAAAGATGAATTAAAAAAATTCGCAAGGCAAGAAAAAGGAGAGGAAAGCTTTTCTAGGTAGAGACAACATTGTGTATTTACAAAACCAGTTTGTATAGGTCAAAACGATTAAATATTAATTTTTGTTTTCCCATAGGTTAAAGCTAATGTGAAAGAGTGGTCACAGGCACCAGATTATGAGATTATATATTCTGGACTGAAAATACATATCCAGCCCTCTTTCATATTACAGAAATTAATGAGAGAAACCTGTTAGACAGGAGTCTCAAAATCAAGCTGACACGGCAGAGAGGGAGAAATTTTGGATATTATCTATTAGATTATTCATAACATGGTATCTCATTTTTGATGTCATTAATAAAGAGCTATATAATTAGCATATTGACCTAATGACTGCACTGTTCCATAGAAATGAGTGTTCTTTTTTTTTTAGATTTTCTTTATTTGACAGAGAGAGACACAGCGAGAGAGAGAGAGAGAGCACAAGCAGGTGGAGGAGCAGAGGGAGAGGGAGAAACAGGCTTCCCGCTGAGCAGGGAGCCCGATGCTGGGCTCGATCCCAGGACCCTGGGATCATGACCTGAGCAGAAGGCAGAGCTTAACGACTGAGCCACCCAGGCGTCCCCATAGAAATGAGTTTTCTAAACAGTTTATTTTTTTAAAGCAAATCTCTAAAGTCTAAAAATTCCCGTTTTGTATTTTTGATCACTACACACCCATTCTTGTATCAAATACAATATTGTAAACACAATTTAGCCTTTAATGTTTAAAATTACTGTGAGCATCAGGTTTTGTTCTGTGCTTTAGTGTATTGTTGCAGTTTGTTGTTATAGGGGTGCAAGGAACTATTTGAACCAACAGACTTGCTTAACTTTTATTCTCTGAATTTTTATGTTTCTGTCATTGATCACTTAAGGGCACCTAATGAGTTTAATCTAAATTACTTCACATCCAGCTTTTATGGTTAGGAGACCAAGGGATGGAAAACAAAGTGCCTGAACTTTTACGAAAGTACATATGCTTGCTATATTTCTTTAATTTTGGGTTCATAGATGAAATCTGAATATTTAAGGTTAATGTCAGTTCAAATAAGTAGTGGTATTTGTAAATTAAGTATTGTTTACCATTTTATTAAATTCATATTATTTCTAACTCTTGAATATTAGTAATTATCACTAATTTATGCATCTTTAATATTTGGGGGTGACCAAAAGGAATTAAATGGAATCTCTTAATTTGTATGTTTTATATAGAATTTACCAGAATAATCCATCCAAAACAAAGGCTGAAGTGCTCATTTTTTAATAAGGACTAGGTCTGGGGTGCCTGGGTGGCTCAGTCAGTTAGGCGTCCAACTCTCGGGTCATGATCTCGGGGTCATGGGATTGAGCCCCACGTCGGGCTCAGCGTGGAGTCTGCTTGGAATTTCTTCCCCCTCCCTCTTCCTCTGCTCCTCCCCTTGCTTGTGCCCTCCTTCTCTCTAAAATAAATGAATAAATAAAATCGTTAAAAAAAAATAACTAGCACAATTCAACCATTAATTTATCAGATTAAATTTAGATGTGTACAAATTGCCTAGATTGAGGGAAACTAAGCCATTTAGATATTACATCTACTCTCATTGGTTCCGTGTCCAACACAGTGCCTTGCTCAATTTTAGATGTCCATGATTCTTTGGTTATTGTGGTCTCCCCTGTGGAGCTCTTCATAGTTTCTGGAAAACTAGAAACTTGCCTAATTGAGATTCCAGGATAAATTTTTCATTTTCAAGTGCACAGAGTCAGTGAAAATTCATTCTGACTCCCTTGATGTTTCTAATTTTTCACATAATCTAAAGAACATTCAACATAAGTAAAAAATACCTTCTGTAGGTAACCTGTAATATATAAGCCATCCCAAGGCAAATGGTAATGTGAAAACTTTGAAATATGTTATCCAGTCATGGCGTTATCTCATTTAAATTTTTATACAAGTTGCAGTCTTTGTACAGATGCTAAAATATGAAAACTGATTTGTACTGATTAAACCTATTTAAGCAGTATATTTTGTTTATTCCTTATATTCTGTTAAAGATAACCGATATTCTTAATTTTCACTTGTTATAAACAGTAAGAAATGTTTAGTCTGATGCTCTTAAGGTACATAAGTTGTTTCTTTTCTAGAGTGAAGTCACCCTGCTGAGAAATGAAGTGGCACAGCTGAAACAGCTTCTTCTGGCTCATAAAGATTGCCCTGTAACCGCCATGCAGAAGAAATCTGGCTATCATAGTGAGTAATGTTCCGTTACCTATAGCCTTAGGCTACATCAGTGAAATACTGCCAGAGCCAACCAAGCTACCATTAAAAAAAAAAAAAAAAACCGAGACCACAATTCTAATATTCATAAAGATTGCCCTGTAACCGCCATGCAGAAGAAATCTGGCTATCATAGTGAGTAATGTTCCGTTACCTATAGCCTTAGGCTACATCAGTGAAATACTGCCAGAGCCAACCAAGCTACCATTAAAAAAAAAAAAAAAACCGAGACCACAATTCTAATATTCAATATTAAATATCAGAACTTCTGCAAGGTTATTATGGAATGGGGAATATACTTCTTAGAATCAGAGTTTTTGGATTTTCCTATTTCTAGCTTTTTTTCTAGGGATTATTACACATCAACAAAACAAGTTAATTTTTTTTTTAAAGATTGTATTTATTTATTTAATTGACAGAGAGAGACAGCGAGAAAGGGAACACAAGCAGGGGGAGGGTCAGAGGGAGAAGCAGGCTTCCCGCTGAGCAGGGAGCCCAATGTGGGGCTCGATCCCAGGACCCTGAGATCATGACCTGAGCTGAAGGCAGTCGCTTAACCAACTGAGCCACCCAGGCGCCCCAAGTTAATAATTTAAAACATACTGTAAATACTGATAATATTTTGTCTTCCCAGAGTAACATTTTGTCTTAGAATGACAGAGTGAAACACTACTTCTTCTCCAGCCCTCCATTCACTAATTTTTTTTAATTTAATTGTCTTCACTTAACAATATATAGTACCTGTTTACAGTATCAGATCCTTTTGTTCTTTATTAAATATCAGCATTGTGCGATTTTTATATGGTTGTAAATCTTTATATTGAGGCTTTTAGTCATAAAAATGGTAAAATAGAACACTAAGTTTTCTGTTACATGTTTCCCCCAAAATGAGATTCCTCTCTTTTCGGCATTTTAGAGGTTAATTGTGTTTTTTCCTTCTTGTAATGTCCTTCTTTTTTGAAAAGATGCACAATATTGGAGCCAGCTGTTACTCTTGAATAAATGGCCAATTTTGTCCATCGTACACAAATTTGTAACAAATAACAGAGCTGGGGATGCATTAGGCAACATTCATAATATATAACCCACAGCTTTCATTTTTATGATTTAGTGATATTTCAGGATATTTGTAAATGTGAAGATTGTTTCAACCATATGTATCCACTTCATTTTAATTTGCCAGTGTCAGTAATTCAAAAGAAAGAAACATTTTGTATTGGATGCAAACAGTTCCTCAGGTGCTCACGATAAAACTTAATGGCCACCATCTTTACTTGTAGTCATTGTAAGCAGTTTCATCAGAGTGGGCAATATTTTTTAATTTAAAAGATTCAGTAGATTTAGCAACTCTTCTATTGCCATATATATTTAGAACATTGATTTTTGTCAGTTTTGAGCAAATAAATCTCAGCCCTTTGATACCTAGTCATTTTCACGGGATGGTGAAACACATTGTGGAGTAAATTGGACCCATATAGAAATATGTTTGGGGTTTGTATTAACAATGATTGCTGCAGGGATGAGGCCATTATGGCTCCCATCTGACTTAACAACATAATTTCCTATGGAAGCTACTGAGTTCAGCATTATGCATATATGATTTTCTTAACAAGAGAGCTCTCTTGAATTTTGATAGTTCAAAAAGAAATATACAAATGATTCTACAAAATTAGAAGGAAAATGAATTTTTCAGTTACATCCAACTAAAAATTTATCTCATCTGTAATTTTTTAATCTTAGATAATCTCTTGGATAATCCCAGCAGTTTTAGCTCTGTAATCAAGGCAGCAGCATATGCTCAGCAAAGGCAAGCCAATTTTTCATTTTAAGCAATAATTTATAAAGATGTTTTTATGAAGATTATAGATGTATGGGTTTATATGCCATACATACCCTTAAATAAACTGAAAGTCTAGATTAATACGTTTTTAGGGAATATGTATTATGCTAGGTTGTATAGACTGTAAGAAATGAGTAAGACATTTTTGATGTTTGGAGTTATTCCTACCTTTTTTTCTCTCTAGTCATCTAGATGATCAAATAGACTGAAGTAAAAATTTAGTTTTAGCATAAAATTAGTTCTCTTCAGCTCTTGGGAGATAATTGGGTTTTATAGAAATTTTAAAGTAATTTCTCTTTTCACACTTGAAGTCTTAGGAAAAAATGTGACTTCTCTGTTGTCTGGTAGTCAAGGTAGATAGATTGACTAAGTGAATATTTAAATCTTAGAGAAAATGTGGGGAAATTCACAGATACCTAATAACTGTTCATGTTGTAGCACACAGGTATTGCTAATGGTGATGAACTGTAATAGTTAACACTTCCAAAGCATTTGTGAAATTAAGGTTTAATACAAATTAAGGAATATTACAAAATCTTCTCAGGTAAAGGTGACAGTATAAAAGCACACACCATAGGGTCTCAGTTCTAAGGCTCGAAGTCCCCACCTTGTAGAATGAAACCCCTCAGTCATGGGAAGACCCTGACAATTGGGGTCACATTAGCAATCAAATAGTATAAACCATGAATGAAAATATGAATACATTTTTAATGTTTGGATTCTATGAAGAATAAAGCACAAGAGTGATCTTATTACTATTAATTCATATTTTCTAGATCTCTGGGCATAATTAAAATGGTATTTTACTTGTTTCTATAATCTTAAGTGGGAAGGAAAGCTTCTTGGGCCCTAAATGTAATTGAGAGCTTATATTTTCATTAATGAAAATATGTATGAACATAGGTAGAAAACTTCATAGTGTGAATTGTCAAATAGCTGGGGGTTTTGTAGCTTTAGGGCTGAAAATGGCTCTTGGAGTGCAGTAAGATCTCATATCTTTCGAGTGCTTATGATTATACTAATGATTTTTCTCTCCTGACCTTCTAGAAGTGGACATAGGTACAGGTATATCACATTATAAAGATATTGTATATATATATAAAATTTATAATTATGTCATTTATAAGTGAGTACCTGATGCTTTGTACAGCCTAAGGATTTGCTTTACCTAATTTGAAAGTCTGGAGATAGGCACTTGTCCTTACAATTTACTGTTTCATTTGGAGTCCTTGCCTCCACTGTATATTTAAATTTCCTTATACCTCTCATCACAGATCGGCCTCTTTATTTTTGAGAGCAGGTGTTCCCTAGAACTTAACACTGAGAGAAAGGTCAGTGTTCCTGTTGAAGAAGAGTGGTGCACAAAAGAGAACTCTTTAGTATTCTTTTCAGTTAAAGTGTCATTGCCCGGGTTTGGATTTCTTTGAACGCATAACTGTTGTATTGGTTGTTTGACTGAATTATAAATATTTTATAACATTTGTTATTGCTTCATCAGAAAAGTATCCTTTCTGCTTTATATAATTTTAAAAGGATTATTGATTGTGATTTTTTATTGTATCTTGAGGTCAAATTTTTATCTTGAGGTGTGATTTTGCATTTATAGCAGATTTATAGAGAAGATGGGATTCTGTCTAATACATTTTAAAAACTGCTTTACAAAAATGCATGGATTTGAGGCAAACTTGTCAAAATTCTGTAAGTACTGTATTTCAGAAAACTCTCAAAATGAGGAATTTTATTTAAACTGAAGTCAAGCTGGCCAAGTTCCTCCCCCTGTCCTCTGCATCACAAATCATAGGATGAGTCCTGCTTTAAGGGTCCACAGTCTTTTAATAATTGATTTTCATTAGTAAGCGGGCCAGTTTGCATTGTCAGATTTGATAGAAAGCCTGCTTGTTACTTTTAAGCACTAAATAAAAATTATTTTAATGCACACATCAGTATGATACTGTTTTCAGGATGTTCAAAGATAAACAAAGCTAAGTAATATTGTACAGAGAGACATACCCGTTTGGTAAAGCTTCAAACAAAAAACAAGGGAATGGTTAAAGAACTATCAGAATGCTGATTACCTTTGATGAGGAGACGAGCCTCCAGGAAGCATCGTTGTTATTGGCAGTGTTCTCTTAAGTTTGGGACGGGGTTCACAGTTATTGGTTCATGTTATCATTGTATCTCCTGAGTTACATATGCTATAACTGCTTGTGTGTTGTGCATATCAAATTTTTCACTACATGAAGTAGCTGGATTCCATCCTGTTAAAATGAGAAAGGTGTAGGAGATTCATTGTTCAAGCCTTAAAGTTGGTAGCTTTTCATAAATACTTAGAAATAAGCCCCTTTCTGAATATCTTTTCCATTGCAGTGTCTAGAGTTTTATATAATTTTTTATTTGAACCCCAATTAATTCATGCAGCTATAACAGCTGGTGGCATTTAGATTCTAAATATTGCTTATTCTCATATGGATGCATCATTAGAATCAGGTGTTGTAATCACCCATTGCTGCAGTAGATGGAAAGCCAGCCAGAATAAATACAGTTCTGGAGAATGCAGAGGGAATAATTGGAAAATATAATTTGTATGTAAGAAATTCATTTTGTTTATGCATGTGGTTGTAAATTTTTTTTATCTTTTAATAAGAATGGCATGTGGGCAAAGACACTGGTTTTGTTAAATGTGTTACTTGGTAAGTGTTTGATCATATCTGTAAGGACAAGGCTATCTCCCAAATTCCTACCTGATTTTCTTAACACTATTTAGCAAATACTTCAGCTCTGTTCTGTGAGGCACTGGGCACGCACATGCTTCCCTGTGCCTGGTTGTACCTTCATTTGACCTGTTGTGGTGAAATTGCCTACTTCGGACTTAAAGGCACCTTTCACTTACTCAGGCCCAGTCATAGCAACTTAGCTCAATAAGCGACTTTGTAAAAGCCTAACTTTTCACTCTGTATACTGACAGAGACTGACACATTCTTAGAGAGATGTCTTTAAGAAACAGTAACTTTTCTTTTTTCCACTCAGCCGCCGATAAAGATGATAGTTCAGAAGACCTGTCAGTGCCAAGTAGTCCACATACGGAAGCTATACAGCATAGTTCTGTCAGCACATCCAATGGAGTCAGTTCAACCTCCAAGGCTGAAGCTGTGGCCACGTCAGTCCTCACGCAGATGGCGGACCAGAGTACAGAGCCTGCGCTCTCACAGATAGCTATGGCTCCTGCCTCCCAGTCACAGCCCTCAGGAAGTTGATTAAAAACCTGCAGTGTGGCAGTTTTAGATACTCATTAGTGACTTCAAAGGGAAATCAAGGAAAGACCAGTTTCCATTTATGCGAAATCTGTGGTTGTAAATTTTTTTTTTTTTTACTTGAAATTAAATTTGGCTCTAAAGTTGGTGTAGCAGCAGTTGATGATCAGACTGAACAACAGTTTTTAGTCTCTGGAAAAAGACTGATTTTGCTTTTTTTATAAATATTGTTAGATTTATTAATTTCCTGTGCTCAATGTGTAAATTGTATTATAATTCATTGTGGTTTATTTCACTTTTAATTTGGTGGTGTTTTAATAAATGGGGGTGTTACTGAATCTCTTCCCACTTCCATTTCTTTTGACCACCTCTTAATCCTCAACTGTGATGGTAGTATTGTTTATCATTTATACCAAAGTTCTGTGTAGTCCCTATTGACTTTGTAATGTTAACAAGGTCATAAAGCACTAGCAAGAGAAAGATAGAGATTTGCTTTTAATCTTTTTGCCTTTTATTTTGCACATTATGCAAAAGGAAAAACATTAGAGAACACTTTTTAAGTGAGTGAAACATGGTAAGAGACATACGATGCTTTTATGCACACTCTGAAACTAAATCAAGATCATTAATCGTGTGTTTTTTTTAAGATTTTAAGTGGACATGAATTTTGGAATCCTTTTTCATTTCAAAATGACTATTTTTCAAATCCTCAGTGTTTTAAACCGTATGTTTTGAGGCTATTAAAATATGAAATTATATAATCTACGATACAGGGTTATCCAATATCTTAATAATTTTTTGAAATTAGGTTTTGGTTTTGGTTTTTTTTGCAGATTTCAGGTTACAAACTGAGAAGTTTATGCATAATCAAGTATGGTATGGTTGCCAGAAAAAGCCTAAAAATTACTTAGAAAATTTAAGACTGTTTACCCCCATTGTCTTGTACTTGCAAGCTAACTTGTACTTATTCTTGTGAAAGCACTGTCATCTTTTCGTAGCAAATTTTGATAAAGTTTCTCGTGGGAAAAAAATCAGTATCTATCTTTAGAACAATGTAATTATAATGTGGGAAGCAAGAGTGGATGAGAGAGAGAGAGTGTGTGTGTATGTATGTTTCTTTCAATAGTTTATGCCAGCAGTCTTTGCTTGAATGTTTAACGATGCCTTCAGTGTGATGCTGGCCAATAGATGATTGCAATTTAAAATGTCATTACTGTGCAGGCTTGGATAACTAACATTCCATGATGTAGTTTGTTTCTGATGAGATGATTGTAGGTACACTTTTCTCATTATCCAGTCATCTGTGGGATACTGAGTTTTCTAATGTGCCATTATCTATTTTTATTCTGCAGTTATGTTCAAAATACAGTACAATATTTTAAAATAGACTAAATTGTTAAAAATAAAGTAGTAGATGTGTGTAAGAAAACTTTGTAAAATAGTTATGAGTCCTACCCAGTAGCAACTTCTGGCATTCAAGCAGGATTCCATTATGTAAATAACTGTAATGCATTTATAATAAGTTGTGTAGTTCTGCATCTATACTACACTATTTACGAACGTCTCAGTGCCATCTCCTAATGAGACTGACATTTAAAAAACCTATATCAGATATCCTTGATAATTCCAGGAAATATCCCACCTGCCTAAGTTCCAAACTGGGAAACATTCAAATTATACAAATGACATTTCAGAACTTTTAGGTATGAAGATAATAGGATTTTTATTGTTTGGCTTATTAAAAGTGAGCAGTTTTAGTTGATAATCCTACTTCTAAATTTTTTTTATTTTAAACTGATTTTATAATTTTAAAGTAATGAATTTCTCATCATGACTTTGCCATAGTTATGCTAAGGAGTTGATCTCAAAGGCACAAAATATGAATTCTGCAAGGCGGCTATTTTTTATTGTAGTTTGGATGGGTTAGGAAAAGCCTCAATTTTTTCACTCTCCTAAGTCCTTCAGTACATTTTTCTTTTATTATTTATGCAAGTTAAAGTTTTTGGGTAACAGGAATTCTTGCAACTGTAAAATAAAACTACATAGATGTAAGAAGTCATGTAAACGGTTAATGAACTTACCAAGGTTAGCAAAAGTTTCATTGTAAATCAGTCTGTACTCAGCAAATAAAAATCATTATTAGTTGTATACACAAATTCCATTTTGACTTTCAGGATGTCACACTACTTCTGTACCTAGCATTTTGAGTCCTTATATTTGCAATGTTACACAAACTGTACTACTTTCTTTTATGTGCAGTTTGCATGAGTAAACCATCAGAGAATAAATTCTATCTTTAAATTATGTTCATAATTTGCTTGTCCTTACCTATCTTTCATAAAGTAACATCACCGGATAATAATATGGGTTCTTTTTTTTCCTTCAGGACGTTTATTACCTGAGAAGAACCGGGTAGTCTTTCTATTTATGTTATAAAATTCATTGCTTCTCAAAGACTTTTCAACTGCAGGGTGCTCGGGCCTTGTTCTTCTCTGCATTCATTAAACCCCATTCATATACAGTGAACCTCTAATGTTCCCCAGCCAGGAACCTTCCCTCAACTACAGCCACACCCAGATCCACCAGCCTTTGGCATCTCTTGGCGACTGCCTAACAAAACACCTTAAACATATCGTGTCCAACTTTGTGTGTCAACTGTAGTTCAGTATAACCTGTCCAACACTGACTCTTCATCATGCCCCATCTTCCCTTCAGGTGTACTTCTCCAGCAGTCGTCCATAAGGCACTGACGACAGCTCCATTCTTCCAGTTGCTTAAGCCGGGACAACTCTGTTGTCATCCTTGATTCCTCTTCTCACAGCCCACCTCCAAACTATCCAGAAATGCTATTGGCTTTTCCTTCAGAATGGTCGAGAATTCAGCCGCTTCTCATCCTGTACAGTGCTATCATCGTGATCCATGCCCTCGTTTTTTGTCACCCAGGCTACTGTATTTGCCTTGTAACTGTCTCCTTGCTTCCCCCCTGCCTACTGTAGACCATCCTCAGCACGGCAGTTAGAGTGGTGCTTTCCAAATGTGAATCCGCTTTTATAGCACTTCTCTACTCAAATCCTGGAGCCCACTCTTCATTGCACTCATGGCCTGCAAGATGATTTGCTCCCCCACCCCCGTGCTGTTATATCTCTGAATGCATTTACAACTTTGTTTTAGTCAGTGAATGAGTGCTTAACTAGGTGTTTTGGTCATTGTTCTGGGCACTTGGAAATCCACCAGTAGCCCAAAGACGAAAATCCCTGCCTTTTGGAGCTACATTCTAAAGAGGGTGGTTAGGAAAGTGTTGGGGGAAAACAATTAACATACTAAATACATTGTATATTATGTTAGAAGTGGTCAGGTTTAAGAAACAGAGGCTGGAGAGCATGTGAAGTGATATTTCAGTCTTTCAGATTGAGCCAATCTGAAGAGATGCAAAAAATCAAATGGCCAATTTTTACATTAAGTTACACATTCTAACGAATGTACTTAATCTGGATTACATGATTTTAGATAAAAGATTTCTTGAAGACAAGGTGATGTTCTCCTCTAACAAAATTTGATGAAATATTAAAAGGTCAAACTCATGTTGGCATTGATTTGTTTCAGAGGACAGGAAAATAATCTTGTCTCTGGCGTGTACTTAATGTTAAATGTAGTTTTATTAATTCTACATCTCAGACTGTGTAGCAATTAATGCTTGACATTAAGAATTTACTTGTGAGAGTAAAGAGTATGGGAGAATCCTGTTTACTCCTAGGCCTTCATTTATGTAAATATACACATGCAGAGATACACAGAAAAAAAATGCCTAGATGACAGCAATTAGTTCTAAAAGACATTTAGAAGAAAAACATTTTAAATCTGACATTTCTAGATTATCTTGACCATAGGTTAATGGTTACTTTTGAAGGAAAGTTATACCATTTTATGTCTGATGTAGTTATGAAAAATCATTTCTTTAAACTATTAATAAATACAAATATATTCCCTAATTCTCACATGGTTTTAAAAAAAGTACAGGTCTCTCCAGACTAACAATAGACTGAGATATGGTCGTTCATTGAGGCAAAGTATTAAGATCCTAGAGAGTTTAGCATCCTTCTATGTGGAGAAAAATGCACACAAAATTTAGAATAAAGACTTTTCTGGAAAAAGCATCCTACCATTTAAGTAAATGGTAAGTTGCCATAGAAAAAGAACAATCAGTGAAGATGTTTCAAAACTAAAGGATTTATTAGTTTTGAAATAACAAAGGCCACGTGACATTGGAACCTACAATAAAAGAAAATATGCATAGTTTTATTCTGTTGTAGCAGTCCAAAGCACCAAATCAAATGTTAGTTGTAAAATTACCAAATATGTCACGGCACTCTGAAAGGGTTGTTATTCAACAGTGGGCCAGTGAGTTGCATCTTTTTTCCTCAAATATACATGAAAATTTTTCCAATGGCTTTCTGGGAAGAGGAAGTCCTTGGTACAACCTGGTCATGGTCACAGTGCCTTCCCTTGCCTCTTCATTTTGCATTAAATTTTACATTTAAGACCATTCCTTGAGCTAGAATTAGTTTAACAAAATAGTTGCCATGGCTTTATCATGCATTACCTCAATTATTTGGGCAAGTATTTGAGTCTGAATCTCATTTTTAACTGTCAGTTATGTCAGATAAAGATTGGTTTACTTTATTCACTTACATTAGAAATCACTTTCGTGAAATTAGACCCCCCACCACCACCAAAAAAAAAAGAATGTTCTCCCAAAGAGGGCATGTAATTTAGGAAGAGATGCAGTTTTTTATAGCCTGACACAAAAATTAAGCAATAATTATTTAATGGGGTTTACTTAGCAGAATTTTAGATGATAGAGTTGTCTGTTGTAAGGTTCTCCGAATTGGGAACAAATGCATTGTTTATGAGGAAATAAACCTTGTCAGTACATCTATCTTCAAAAGTAAACCCTTTTGCATTATCCATTATTAACTGTATTGTTTGATTTTTTTCTACCAATAAATTTTTTTAATTTAAACATGTAGCTTTTAAAGTCCATTTTGGGAATTGTGCTTGTTAAAATTGTCAGAGGGTCTAATTAAATAACATCAGTGAAAAATAAAAGGTAATAATAGTATCCTAGCATTAATTAATCTGGACATTTAAAAAATCAGATGATAATTGACTTCCCCAACTACTAAATTTTTAGGAAAGTACTTCTTTTACATCTCAATTTATTCAGCTCAGCTAATGGTTTCTGAGGTGACTTCCAGCACCATGAGGCAATCTGCTAAAGCATAAACATCCTTGTCAATAGCTTATCTGTAGATGCTATAGGAGTGCCTCAAAAGCAGTGTGCTATTGTTGAAAATGACATTGCTCTGTAAGAACTTGCATAAAAGACATCTGTATGCCTGTATAACTAGTAGTCTAGATTATAGAGGGCCTTCAAAGTTGATTGGGACTCTAAAACAGAGCAAACCATTGACTTTCAGAAAAGGGACATTAGGAAAGTGGTTTAAGGAACAGGCAATAATAGGAAGGCTGGCCCACATGGAAATCAGCTACCAAGTTGCAGTAATTCACGCATGAGTTGTAATAAGGACTAGGGAAGAAGGGCCAATAAGTAGCAAAAGGAATAGGTGTAAGAAATATTTTGCAAGAAATACCTATAGAGTTTATAGACTAAAAGGGAGATGATGAAAAGCAAAGAAAAAAGACTCCCATTTTTGAGGCTTGAAAGACAGATGGTATCACTTGTAAGAATAAGTTGGGAAAGGGAGCTAATTTGGGAAGAACAGGTGTTTAGTATCTTGGAAATTAAATGTCCAGACTCCACCAAAAAAAAGACTAGAAGCAATGAATGAATTCAGTAAGGTCACAGGATACAAAATCAACATATAGAAATCTGTTGCATTTCTATGCACTAATAATGAAGTAGCTGAAAGAAATTAAGAAAACATTTCCATTTCTAATTGCACCAAAAAGAATATAGTACCTAGGAATAAATTTAACCAAGGAGGTGAAAGACTTGTACTCTGGAAACTATAAAACATCAGTGAAAGTAATTGAAGATGACACAAACAAATGGAAAAGATACTTCATGCTTATGGATTGGGAGAACAAATATTGTTAACATACTCCCCAAAACAATCTATAGATCTAATGCAATCCCTATCAAAATACCAACAGCATTATTCACAGAACTGGAATAAAACTAAAATTTGTGTGGAACACAAAAGTGGGAGAGGGAGAAGCAGGCTTCCCACTGAGCAGGGAGCCCAATGCGGGGCTCGAGCCCACGACCCTGGGATCATAATCTGAGCCGAAGGCAGACGCTTAACAACTGAGCCACCCGGGTGCCCCAATAGCCAAAGCAATCTTGAAAAAGAACAAAACTGGAAGTATCACAATCCCAGATTTCAAGAAATACTACAAGGCTATAGTAATCAAAACAGTATGGTACTGGTACAAAAATAGACACAGAGGTCAAACAGGACAGAATAGAGAGCCCAGAAATAAACCCACAATTATATGGTTAATCAACAACAAAAAAGGCAAGAATATATAGCGGAGGAAAAGACAGTCTCTTCAAATGGTATTTGGAAAATTGGATAGCTACATGCAAAGAAATGAAACTGGACCACTTTCTTTCACTATACATAAAGATAAACTCAAGATGGATTAAAGCCCTAGATGAGAGACCTTAAACCATAAAAATCCTAGAAGAGAGCATAGGCAGTAATTCTCTGACATCAGGGGCTCCTGGGTGGCTCAGTCGTTAAGCGTCTGCCTTCGGTTCAGGTCATGATCCCAGGGTCCTGGGATCAAGCCCTGCATCGGGCTCCCTGCTCCACAGGAAGCCTGCTTCTCCCTCTCCCACTCCCCCTGCTTGTGTTCCCTCTCTCGCTGTGTGTCTCTCTGTCAAATAAATAAATATCTTTAAAAAAAAATTATCTGACAGCCATAGCAACATTTTTCTAGATACGTCTTCTAAGGCAAGGGAAACAGAATCAAAAGTAAACTATTGGGGGGGTGCCTGGGTGGCTCAGTCATTAAGCGTCTGCCTTCGGCTCAGATCATGATCCCGGGGTCCTGGGATCGAGCCCCGCATCGGGCTCCCTGCTCCGCGGGAAGCCTGCTTCTCCCTCTCCCACTCCCCCTGCTTGTGTTCCCTCTCTCGCTGTGTCTCTTTCTGTCAAAGAAATAAAATCTTAAAAAAAAAAAAAGTAAACTATTGGGACTACATCAAAATGAAAAAGCTTCTGCACAGCAAAGGAAACTATCAACAAAACAAAAAGAAAACCTACTGAATGAGA